AGGCACTCAGAGGCGACGACACTCGTCCTAAAGTTTTGGGATCCAGTTCATCATTTTCTCACCCATGTAGCAAAATCATGTTTCTCGAGTCAGCTATTGTTCAGGTAACCAAGAGAGATACCCTAACTTCAGTTTGAGAACATTTCCTCCTAGGAGGCCACATGTTTCCTGAGTGCAGTTGCCATTTGCCGGGTCAGCCCTTAAGGGTTTGGACAGCTGCTCTGTCCACATCAGTGGTTCTCACCTCTGACTGTATTTAGCATTCCCTGGGGAGCTGAAGAAAACCAGTGGCTTCCCCTCTTCGCCCTGCTCCCTGCCACCATGGGCTTTGTAGCTCAGCTGGTCAGGAGAGGGGCCCAGGTTCTCGAATCATTTAGAAGCTTTCCGCAGTGACACTTGTGTTCCTCGGGGGTTGGAAACCACTGGCGTAGACAGCCTCTTCAGCAGGCAGTAATCGTGCAGAGTGAGCTGCGGAGGAGATGAAGGCCCCGTCCTTAGTGTGGGGTGCTCACAGCAGAACCCTGATGGTGACTCCCCTGGACGGCGACGTCAGTGCCCTTAGCAGGCAAACCACACCCTCCACGTTATCCTTCTGATTCAGCCACCCATGCCCACCACAGGTCACAGGAGAGATGTGACGTAGGAATGTAAACAGTGTCATTTTATCCAGCAAAGACAAAACCTCGTTTGCTTCTCTTCCCAGCACGGCCTCACTACGACGTCATAATGTTTGACGTAGACAGCAAGGACCCAACCCTGGGAATGAGCTGCCCGCCCCCAGCGTTTGTGGACCAGCCCTTCCTGCACAAGGTCAAAAGCATCTTGAGTCCCGAAGGTACGGAGAACAGCAGGTTGGGGAGGACGGTGGATAGGTCCTGCAAATATTTCACTTTTTAATGGAAAACGCACATATCGTAAATGTGTATCTCGGTTGAGTTTCATAAGCCGGATACTACATCCATTGCCAGCAGTGAACAGAAAGCGTTGCCAGCTCCCCCGAAGCCCAGCGCTTCCCTCCTTCCGGTAACTCATGCTCCTCTCAGGATAACCACTGTCCTAGCTTCTGTCAGCACAGCTTCGTTTGCCCATTTTTCTTCTTTCTCTCCATGGAATCATACTGAATGGAATGTTTAAGTTTCCGTTTCCTTGCTGCCAACATGATGTCTGTGAGATGCTTCTCTCGTGTTGCATTTCCGTTGCTGTCGTTGCTGTGTAGCCTCATGGCGTGACTGTGGCGCGGTTGGCTTCTCCACTCTGCGCTGGTCGTTGGGAGTTTTCTTGTTTGCAGCTGTCATACGTAGTGCTGCCATTAGCATTCCAGCAGGTGCCTTTAGGTGAGACGTTTGCAGGTCTGTTGGGCATAGATGCAGGCTTGTATTGGGTTGTCAGAAAAGCCATGACATATTTTTTCTATGTTTTTCGTTGCAAAAATGCGTCATGACTTTTTCGACAACCCAATAGTTGCTGGATGGTGGATGACCTATATGTTCAGCATTTGAGATGCTGCCACATGGTTTTACAAAGTGGCTGCAATCATTCTCATTCCCACCAGCATGGTGGCGCTGACCATCAGCTGAATTCTGCCTACATGCCCTGGACGCGGCAGGATGTTATTCCATCCTCATAGTGCTTGTTTTCAGAGGAGGAAAGGGAAGTAAAGAGACTTTCCAAGGTGACACAGGTAACAACTGGGGCTCCAACCCAGGTCCTTAATCCACATGTTCACGCCCTCCCGGATGTTTCGATTCTGTGTGAGGTGCTGTGGTGAACAGAGCTGATTTACGACCTTAATTGTCACAGGCTGATAAGGTTGGCTGTCTCCCTGGCTAATTAAACACTGGACGGTGTATGTCAAGGAGATGACACCCCTGAGGGGTTGGTGCGCCTTTCTTGGAGTTGTTAATGACTTCCTTCCGAAGGCATTTCTTTGGGAAACTGAGGCATGGTGCATGGTGAAACCAGTTGTTAGCAGCACAGAAACTAGGCTGAAGTTTTCTCATGGCTCATGTGTTTCCCATGCTTTTCTCCTTCTGCCTTTGTGGGTGCTCTGCAAACCTGCTGCTGCCGTCCGTGCATTTCCTAGTCCACCAGCCTCCCTGGGGCAGGAATTGATATTGTCCTCAGAGCTGAACCTCGTCTTCGGCATGTCACCCGATCTGTGGTCATTCTGACTCTTTCCTTCCCACCCCACAGGTGTCTTTATCCTCAACCTCGTGTGCCGGGACTTGGGGCTAAAGGACTCAGTGCTGGGTGGGCTCAAGGCGGTGTTCCCCCTTCTGTATGTCCGGCGAATTGAGGGGGAAGTGAACGAGATCCTGTTCTGTCAGCTGCGCCCCGAGCAGACACGTGCCATGCCAGAGCTGCTGGAAATGGCCCAGGCCTTGGAGCAGGCCCTGAGGAAGCCAGGGAGGGGTTGGGATGACACGTATGTCCTGTCAGATATGCTCAAGACCGTGAAGATTGTGTGATCGCTGGCCATGCGGTCCTCTCAGCTTCCTGCCAGACTGCCCTTGGGCTCCCAGCCTGCCAGAGACTGAAGAACTATCAGGCACCATACTTTTCAAGCCTCATATTTTTCTCNCCTCAAGCTCAGATCGTAATCCTGAAATGGCTACATGTCTAAATTGTTTTCTTCTTGTTTATTTTAAACACAAAGGTACAAAATTCATTCAGTGAGCTATGCAAAGTACACAGGCTTTTAGGCGTTCAGCTTGGTGAATTTTTGCGTATATATATACCCACGTAACCAGACGAAACATTTAAATATCATGTGTCTGTTGGAGAAATGCCCTTGCAGTTTAGGAGAATGTCTGGCTTTTCATTAATGCATTATTTGAGCACCAGATGCAATCCTATCTTGAATTTCTAGTTTTGAAAAAAATCCATGTTACAGATAGTGCAACCATAGCCTTGTCACTAGTGACAAGTTTGGATCTGACCACGTGGTGAAGACGCTCAGGTTTCTGTCTGCGCCTGTACCTGTCTTCACCCGAAGTCCGACAGTGTGTGTGCACTGCTCTTTGGGCCCATCCTGGTGTGGATATGTGTCCCCGGAGGCTCGGTTCTTACATTGAATCCTCAGGGTCTGTCTCCTTGTGGTGACTCTGTCCTGTTTCTTGTCTTCCCTCTGGTGGCTCTGGTCTCTCTCTGCTTAGGTCCAGGCGTGGAGCCTTTGTTTTCCTGTGATTTCTGGAACTCGATGGATGTGTGTGAGGGGGCCCTTGTGCCTTGTGAACAGAAAGCTGGGCCGAGGGCATCGCGCCTACACTGATCACCAACCAGCTGCTGCCCACTGTCCCTTATGTTTCTTAGAGGGGCTCTAATAATGCCGATGGTGGGGACTCGTGATGTAACATCAGCTGGGTGCTTTGGCATCTCTAAGGGGCCAGAATAATAGCACACGGTTCATCTTCTGAATCTAGTAAAGGGGGGACAGTGAGGCCAGGGTTGAGTTTTAAGATGTGAACGTTAACTCCTGAATTTCTGGGATGAGACAGGGAGGCCAGGTCCTTACATTTTGTATCCCCTGGGTGGAGCCAACAATCTGACCCGTCTTTTGTCCTCCCAAGTACCAAACTTTGCGGTGAGCAGATGGTAAATGATGCTTTCTTCCTTTGTTGCAGAGACCCCACTGGCGTTGTTGGTGGTAGGCCTGGGTGGGGGCAGCCTCCCCCTCTTTGTCCACGATCATTTCCCGAAGTCCTGTGTTGATGCTGTAGAGATCGACCCCTCCATGTTGGAAGTGGCCACACAGTGGTTTGGCTTTTGCCAGAGCAACCGGATGAAGGTCCACCTTGCAGACGGCCTGGATTATATCAGCAACCTGGCGGGAGGAGCAGGTATGGCCCCTGGCGGGATGGAGGGGTGTCCGCGGAAGACTGAGCCGAGCTTTTCAGGCCCGCAAGGGCCTCTAGGATTTATGCCTAAGAGGGCGGCCTCCGTGCCACGTGCGCCTTTCACCTGTGTGTGTGTCAACGTATTTATTCAATCAATACAGAGTGCCAACCATATGCTCAGCTCTGTGCTAGGGGTGGGGGTATAGCAACAAGTGAAAGAGGCTGTTTCCTGCCCTGATGGCGCTCACAGACCAGTGGGCTGCTCTTCAGACCCTGTAACCTCGCCACCTCCTCACCATCCCTGAAACCTAAACTGTAGCTGGCTGAGGAAAAGGAAGAAAAGTGGGGGTGGTGGGGGTGTTGGAGGGTGTTTTTTTTCTAAATCTTTCGGCGGGAGGTGAAGCCAAACTAGAGCAGGGCTGCCTTCATGCCAGTTGGTAACACCTCAGGGACACGTGGCCGTGTCTGCAGACATGTCTTTGGTCGTCACCACCTTTGTGCAGGGATATGCTCCTGGCATCTGGCGGGTAGAGACCCGGGATGCTGCTAAACCTGCTCCAATGTGCAGGACAGCCACTGAGGATAATGAGGCATCTGACCCAGATGTCAGTGGTGCCGAGGCTGACAAACCCTGAGGCAGATGCCACTCAGCAGGAATTCTGATAGCCCTGCTGCTCCTGGAATTAGGTCCATTTTGCTCTAATAACTTGTGCCACAGACTTAGGACACAAGGCATGTTAATGTTCCCCACGAGCTCCCTCCGTCCTTTGTGTATAGGTTCCTGGGGACTGGCGCTTTCCCGAGTGTGAGTCCAGAAAGGAAGGTGTCAGGTCAGTTCAGTCCTGAGAGAACTTGGGGCGCTCAGGCCACCACCCTTCCTGGTCTGCTCGTTCCATAATAGGTGCTCAGGTTCCAGTAAGGGGTTAGAGCTTCCAGTAAGGGGGTGGCAAACCAGGGGACATTTTGGTGCTGGGATGAGTATTTTTGGTGCTGGGATGGACAGATGCTGCCTCATTTTAATTGCAAACTGAACCATATTAGAGTTTCACAGGTTCCCTCTCTGAGGTTGGGTCATTTGGGGGGCTCAGACCCAAGATAGCTAATGCATGTGAACCATTTAAAACAGCGCCAGGCACATGGTAGGTGCTCAATGCACAGTGCGCTGCTCTTGTTCTTATCCGTGGGTCAGTTTTGAACGGCTCTAACCACCACAACCTTTCCGATGA